CAAGCCAGATCAAGCTCTAAAACAAGGTATGTGATGGTTATAGCACCTGATTTTATGCCTATTTCGGATTAGTTACTGCACGTATCTGATTCTGAAATTTTGCATGCTTAAAGTACACTCTGTGAGCTTTAAATCCATAGGTAGAACACTTCATTTGGATATGTGTACGATTTATGGTGATTTTTCAAAGTTAGGGTTTGAAATCTGGAAATAGTGTTGAACGTTTGGAAGAGTTTTGATTTCCGTACAGTTCCGGTACTGTTCGGCGTAGAATTGATTCATGAAACTATTTTTCCTTTAAATTTAACTTAAGGAGCTTTCAGTGAGACTTAGAAGCACTAAATTTGAATTTTTCTAGAATTAATTATGAATTTTCAAAGCTGAGCAAAAATTCTGGAAATTCTGCGTAAACAGTACCTGCGAAGCAAAATTTCCAGATTTGGTATTCTTGAATCTAAGGCCATCTAAAATGGTCCTAATTGACAAGAAATGGATCTTAAGGATGGAAAATGATAAGATTTATGTTATAAAAGTTGGAAAGAAAACCCTAAGACTAAGAGAAAGGGTTGAGGTTCAAGAAAGCTAGTCTTAACTTTATGTAATCTAGTGGTCCTAATGGATTGTATGATCAATGTGACTATGTTTAGGACCTTTGGAACATCCAAGAGGATGTTTGGTGATGTTGACCAAATGTCCACATGGTTGGAAAGACAAGGGAATCAAAGGAAAAGCAAGGGGAAAGCCATGTTACAAGGTAGTGAACTTACCTATACTGTGTGCTTGATATGTGTGCTTACATGATGTGATTGTGTTGCCATGATGTGACTAAGCTATGATGAAATGTTTTCAAAGTTATGTTTACAGGTTTATGTTATGTTTTGCCTTGGCAATATGTTATGGAAGCATGAAATGCTTTAGCTTACTTTCCATGGCATTCATGTGTTAATGTTATAACATGTCATGCATGTGCATTATGTCTTGCATGCTTATGGGTAGTGTTTGCTACTGAGATTTCCCCGAATCTCACCCCTCCCTAACCAACCATTTAGGTCAATCAATGATAGGCAATAATGGCATGAGAAGCAAGGAGAAGTAAGCGGAGAATTATTCTTGTTAATGGATGAGACTGTTGATAAATGTATAATTCTACTATTTTGTGAACTATGTTATGGATGCCAATGATGCCATTTATTTAATTATAATATTTATGGCATGAATGAAAGTGTATGAGCATGAACGGGAAAGAGTAAGGCCATGTTATATGCCAAAGAAATAAAAAGAATTAAAAAGATGTTAAGGGATAAAACGTAAGTCCTGGAGCAGTGAGTTTGTAGCTCCAGTTTGACCTATCAAACGAGCGCGTTAGGTCATAAGATTTGGCAAGCAAAGAGATCTGATGCTTCTCTTTAAAATGAGGGGTAGTTTGCCCGATTCCGATAACCGAGCAGAAAGTTATGCCTTTCCAAAGTTAGGCAAAAATACAGTAAAATCCGTAAATGACCAAATGAACAGTAACTTTTTCAAAGGAAATTGAGCTCGAATTTCAAGGCAATCAGTTCAGAAATTATTTTTTCTCAAAATTTTATTCAAAGAGCTTTTTGTAGAACTTGGAATCACTCAATTTCAATTTTTCTACAATTAGTTATGAATTTTTGAAGTGTGTCACATTTTAAGGTGACAATGAATAGTAACCCGTAAATGAAAATTTTCAAACTTGATTTTTGATCAATTGTAGCCTTTAAAAGTGATTCCAAATGCTTCCGCAAGGAAAGTTAATTGATTTAAACATGAGGTGTTACAAAAAGTGAAAAGGATGACTTCAGAAAAACATGTAAAGAACAGTCTTAAGTTCACTTTCTATTTTGAATTCCTTAAAATAGAGAATTAAGATAATCAAGAAGGCTGAGAAAAGCTCAAAGGGAAATAATCAACATATTTTGAGAATCATGGTAACTTGTTGATGTTTAACTGAAATAAGTCAATGATCGATCAAGTGATCGAAAAATATTTGATCAATCATGTTATCAATAAAGCTGAGTGAGGTAGAAATAGATTTTCAAGGAGTAATGATTGAGTACTTTATCGATAAATAGGTGATGGATAAACTGATCGATAAAAGATCAAGAAAAATATTCTAAGTGAAAACACAGACTGTATAATTTTTTGAATAGATGATCGATTAAGGATTGATCGATCAGGTGATCGATAAAATAATGTCTGAAAGATTTATTTTGCAAAACCAGGAAAGAGTTTGATCGATCACATTATGAAAAAAAAAGGTTTCAGAAGACTGGATGATCGATCACTTCATCGATAATTAGATTATCGATCAGGTGATCGAAAAGAATAACTTAACATAGTAACACAGCAAAATAATGATGATCGATCAAATGATCGATAAAAAGCTTTGTCAGCATACTTGAACAAAACGATAAACAGGTAAGTTATGAAGCAATGATAGAACAAATTATCGAAAAACCTTTGATCGATAATGTGATCGATAAATGGTGATTAAGACAAAATACAGAGGAGAGAGCTTTACCATTTATCTTCTCATTGATGACTTATTTATCGATCATGTGATCAATAAATACTTACCAGACTTGTGTCCCATTATTTGACAGTTATTCAAACATTAGATTATCAATCAATTAATCGATAATTTCCTGCAGGCTTCTATACACAACTATGTTAACAATGATTGATCAATTGATCGATCAACACATTATCTATCAAGTTATCGATTAATATTTCTGCCATCGATCAACTTACTAAAACACGTATTCCTTAATTTGTTATCATCAAAATCTTAAATCTAACAAAATCCTCTCCATTAGGGGCTTGACACATGGCCAAATGTGAGCCATTTGAATTGCAAGACTCTAGTCTTTGCTTTATCGGTATACTTTGACTCCGGGTTTAATTTTTTTCTATAATTACTGTATTTTGGCCTCTGTAATTTTTTTTATCATATCCATAATTTATTCTCCTCACTTTTATCTTCCCAAAATGTCTTCTTTGTCTCAAAATTAAATTCCCAATAATTAAATAAAAAGAAAAACTAATTTCCTTCTCTTTATTGGTTTTTTCACTTTTCAAAGGAATTAGGAAAAATCTTGGATACTTGAGGGTCTTCTTTTAATTCCATAATATCTTATAATTCTTTGGGGTATCATAAGAATTTTCTTGGAATTTTATTCTCCTTAAAAATATTTATTTGGAATTTTCCAAATAAAATCCCTTAAATTAGCCTAAACTACCTCAAATTCCTTTGTAATTTCTCTAAGGGTAATTTGGTCCTAAAACTAATTTTATAATCCCATATAATTCTCAAAGGATATCATCCTTATTTTTTCTTAATTTTCTAAGGCTTGGAGATATTTTTTCATAATTATTTTTGACTAATTTTTCTGAATTAATCAAACTTTCACATTCAACTTGGAAAATCATAATAACTATTTTTCCTTAAAATTCTTCTATTTCTTCTTGTTATTTTTTACTCTTAATTATTTAGGAATATTTTTTATTTTTAATTACCATATTACTGGATGTGACATAAAGTGCTCCTTGAGAAGAACGATTGGTTGTGCCCTATATTGCATTATTTAGTGCAATCACATTCTTGATGACCTAGAAGGCGATATTCCGGTCCTATCAAAATAACAAGTCTGAAATAGAAAATTACAAGACTACAAAAAGAAATAACAAGTCTGAAATAGGGAATTACAAGTTTGAAACAGGAAATTATAAGTCTGAAATAGAAAATAACAAGTTTAAAATAGAAAAGTACAAGAAGATGATAACTAGCCTGAAATAAAAAATAACAAATGTAAAATAGAAAATTGCATATTTGAAATAGGTAGTTACAAGTCTATAATAGGAAATAACAAGTTTGAAATAGAAAATTACAAATTTGTAATAGAAAATAATAAGTTTTGAAATAAGAAATTACAAGACTAAAATAGGAAATAACAAGTTTAAAATTAAAAATTATATGTCTATATTAGGAAATAACAAATCTGAAATAAGAAATTACAAAATTACAAAAAAAAAAAAAAGTCTAAAATAGGAAATAACATGTTTGAAATAGAAAATTACAAGTTTATAATATGAAATAATAAGTTTAAAATAGGAAGTAATTCTCTCAGGCAAGTCTACACAATACACAACCACACTTCTCACTAAGAAGCTCAAAAACTCGTGAGACTTGACATGATGATTTTCATATATATGTGGTGGAGTATCACGCTTGAGCTTTAACAAAATTTGGTCCATTCTTTATGGTTGGCACTTCATGAGTAATAGGTTCACCAATTGCCTTCCGTTAGTTTTTCTCAACTTCAGTATAGATTTTCTCCCAGTTTGCCGAAAATAGCTGTGAAATTCATAATAAATAATATATATTTAAGACAGATTGTCTTTGGATTGTGAAGATCATTTGGGTATATCAACTTTACATCAAAATCATCATCTTTTAAGATCTTGTAAATGTTGGTATGATTGCATAGCATAGCCAGTGACGCCATGCTAATCATGACCAGGTTCCTCGTTAATAAAATACTCTCTGAACATTTTTTGCTTGAGATCATCATCGTCGTTATCAACAGTAAGTAAAGTGTTGAAGTCCTTAAGAAGGGTATGATGGCTTGCTTTAATGGAGAAGAGAATATTGGAACAAAGAGAAAGATGAAGAGAGGGAGAGGGAGAGAAGAAGGAAAAAGAAAGAGATGGGGTGATGAAAGAAAAAGAAAGGTATTCTAGTTTTTTAGCCATCATTTCATAATTACAATTTAGACCCGGTCTTCCCAAGCAATTTAATTTATTCAGGCATTCATTTTGCGATTTTGTTAACGGGGTCCTTTTTTTTTTTTTTTGCCATTTTTCCCAAAAAAAAATTAAAATCAAGATCAAAATCAAAATCCACTTTTTTTTTTTTTTTTTTTGGGTTTGGTTTTGGGCGCTTTCAAGAAGATTTTTCTCTTCTATTCTTGTAAAAAGGGGGCCGACCGCCTGCTCCTCCGTGGTTCCGTCCTCATCTTTCAAGGTGGGAGTGAGAATTCATCTTCTTCAGTTACGTCTCTCCCTTCGCGTTCGGTGTGTTCGCTTGTCTCCTCCGCCAATGCTCCTTGTTTGATCTCTGTCGTTCTTCCTTGTCATTGTTGTGACGCTGTGAGTCTCCGTGCGCCGAATGGTTCAAATAGGCGTAATGTTGCAGTAGTGGGTGAGTGCACTAGAACTTTTTATCTTTTTCTTCTTTTCGTCTTTTGCCTTTGTGTGTAATATGGGGGATTAAATTTCTTTCTTTTGGTATGCCACTGTGTCTGAAACAGAGGAATGTTAAAGTATGGTCTAGCTCAAATATAAATTGAAAAGAAGCTTGATTAGCTAATTTCAATCTCATGCAGGATAAACGTTTGATAAAATGTTTGAGAGGAGAATTATGGCAATCTCATTCAGGATAAGTGTTTGATAAAATGTTTGAGAGGGGAATTATGGAATTGAAGTTTTATAGATGAAATTTTGGAATTAAGGAAGCTTTAAGAAACCATGATTTTGCTGCAGGAATAAGAATGGTTGGATGGTGTTGTTTAGGATTTAAACTTTGATTACCAGAAGAGGTTTGATAAATTATTGGTAGATTAAAGTTTGAGTTACTGTAACAAACGAGCATGAAGGTTTTCGCTTGATGACTTAATCTTGATGCAGACTAGACGTTCGGTGAGATGTTGGAAGAGAAATGGACTTATTTGGATCTGTGATTTATGGTATTCTGATGGCCAAAAAGAATTTAGATTCTATTTTGGGTTGATTATGATTTAAACCTTGCTTAAAGATAAAATTTGGAAGTTTTATTAAAAAATAGTGCTGAAAAGAAGATTGATAGGAAACTAATTTCCATGTGGTGCGTGGGGTAATTGTTTTCAGTTTGATGGTTAGATAGAAATTAATTTGTATAGATAGTATGTGTGTTGATTTAGTGGCTGTAATAGTAAAATGAATATTGTTGAAGCATGTATGGAAAAGAAGAATAGGATATTTTTGTTTATGCTTGCTTGGATATCACTGAATAGGAAGGTTCATACATTATTAATTAATGTTATATCTTATGAGAGGAAGGTTGAAGTTAAGATCTTTCTTTTTTTTCTCTTAAGCATAATGGAAATTAAAATGAAAGTCTAGTTATTGAAAAGAAGATTTTGTTAGACAAAGAAAAGGATTTGATATCGATTATGATAGAAAATTAAAGAAAATATATATGTTATGGTTGATTTTTCATAACTTCCGTGTTGTTACATATATGTAATGCTTTTAAGTGGAAGTTGGAAATATGGTTTATGAATGTTTCATGAAGATTTATTTATATCTACAAAAGCAGACTTTCATGAATTGGCAGAAATTATTATTATTTTTTTTTAAAAATAATGATTCTGAACATTTTTATTCAAAGGAACTAGACACAGAGCGTCTGTATTTTGCCTTTCAGCTGTGTTGGTTACTCGTAGCTTTTGAGTTGTGCCTGTATATTTGTGGCTTTTGAGTAGGGTCGGTTATTCGTAGCTTTCGAGCTGTGCCAGTTATTTGTAGTCTCCAAGCCATGCTTGTATATTCATAGCTGCTATACCTGTGTGTTCGCAGCCTTTGAGCTGCACCGATTATTTATGGTCTCTGTGCTGCACTTGTTATTCGTGATCTCCTTGTTGTTCCTGTTATTTGTTTTTGTGTCGATTCCTTGGGTGAAACAAGTTTTTTTAGGAAGACAATAACAGTATTTTCATCGCTATTTGTTTTTACTAAGAAGAATTTCTTTTATTGAATTTTTATTTAAGCTGAACTCATGATTATTTTCTTCGATTTATATATATATATTTTTATACAAGCATGGTTATGATAAGTTTGAGAAATAGGTTTTAAGTATTGTTTGGGTGGAAACCAAACCATAGTTTTAAAAGTGATTTTACGGTATACGAAATAAGTATATGACAAGAGTTTTGTCTCAACTTGCGTAAAAACACTTTTTTAAAAATGCTTTTAGTTATGCATCAATGATAATGTTATTTTTGAGTATTTTATAGATTTGAATTATTGAAGTATGATTCTTCATTTTGAAAACTCATCATGATTCAATATTTATTTAGATATTGCTGAAGCGAAGAAGGGATTCGTGCTTGGATTTCACTCAAATGATTTCTTTCCTAGTTCTTTATATTTCAGATAGTAGAAAGTGGATCACATATTTATTGGATGATTGTATTAACTGTATTAATTGTTTTGATATAGTTAATTTTATGATATATGTGATTATTACCTTGTTGTAAATAAAAGATGCACCATAAGCTGTGTAGACATGATGTCCATTTCCTTGTTTATATATTTTTATATATTAGAGAAAAAGTCTCATACTCTTCTGGGAAGTCCAACATTTAAAAAGATACGTGCAACTTTTTTATTTTCTTCTTACAAAGGTTCATGAATGAATGTTATAATGTTACTGATATTATATTCATAAAACAGATGTTGCCGATTATAGATAGAAAATAGCAAACTAAAAGGGCTTGTGAAGTGAGATCACCTTATGCTTTGTGTGGTCACGCTTTAGTATATGTGGGGCATGACATTATGGATGATAAATAGATAATATATAGATTGCAATTGAGAAACTAAATTTGCTTCCATTTTTTTTTTTTTTTTGCCTGCTGAAAAATTAAATTTGTGGCTGGTAACATCAGTAAGATATTTAATTATTTGTTATATTTTTGTTACCCAAAAGTCCAAAGCGTGTAACATATTTGGTGACTTTTCAGCTTTCCATTTACGTTGACACCATTGTCCTTGCATTACCTGGCAAAATGGTGGCTTTGAAGGTATAGAGGACAGGTGGTAGATGGGAAGGTAGAGGAGAGAAGCTATTTCCTAAAGATTCAAAATATGTCGAATCCATTTGTGAGATACCGAAAACTACGCTTGAGAGAGTTTCTGCCCAAAATTTATAGATACCCAATTGCCTGCAAAGAGCTAAGCTCAATTCTCAGGGACGCCTACAATAAGCTCCCCAAAAATTTGCAGGCTATCATCTTTGAGGACATACTCACAGCCTTCCGTCTCCTCCCAGAGTAAGTCTTTAATTGTTGATCCATTTTTTGGCCCATTTTTCATTTTGGTTCAAGCTTTATCTCTGTTTCAACGAAATGGTGGTCTGAACTTGGATTGTTATGGTTTAGTGCTGACCATCCTAACCAGCATGTCCAAAATCTAGCCGAATAGGATTTATCACCACTTTAGCTACTTTAGCACCATAACTAGTTACTCAGGAATCCTGATTATTCCATTTCCTAATGTTCAAGGTCTGTCTACTTTGAAACCGTAATTTTATATATACAATTCTAATTTCTAATTTTTATGCCATCAGGGTTTATAATGCAGTGTAGGAATTTGAATTGTATATATAACCTAACAATCTTGGTACCAGTTCAAATTTTGTCTTATCTGAAATCATATTTTTTGGTCGTCATAAAGGTGCTATGTGTATGGATGGATTAATGTCAGTGCTTTTTATTAGATACTGCTTCGCACTTTAAATTAGATCACTTTAGATTTTTTGGATGGTAAGTGAACATTCTTCGTATTTATAACCTTTATCTTTCTTCTAATGGGATTAGACGTAATAATTTAGGGAATAAAATTGAATTACAGATAGCTGTGAACATAGCGAAAGCAAAGCATCTGGAACTTCTTTTACCCCAAAAGCAGAAGATGACATGGCAGTGGCACCTTTTAGGCTTACGGTACAATTTTTGTTAACCATAAGCCATCTCCTTTATTCAACTAGCTCCAACAGAACTGCTATCTCAAACATAATTGACTGGAAGAGAAATGACAGATGACCTATAACTATCACTCGTAATATAATATTTGGTATGTTCAGATGTAGTAATGGCTTTGTTTGAGAAGAAAAGGATCGGACTAGGATATTATGGAATGATGGGAAGGAGCTTGTATGTTATGGAAACAGAATATTTCATACATAATATATGATATATTAATAGTGGTCATAACTAAAATTCATCCTGTCCTTTGCCTTGTCTAGCTTATTCAATTCACCCTGGATGTAAGTTTTCATGTTCTCTCAGTTGAAGGACCAGGTTACCCAGTGATGCTTGGTGTTTAGATTGTTTTAGTCCAGGAAAAGATTGAATGAAGTTTCAATGATAATAAAAGAGTCATAAGCCTTGATTAAATTTGCATCTTAATCTTTTTTTGAGTCCCTCCGCCTCTATTTATAAGAGACAATTTTAAAGGTTGTGGTGTGAGTATAAGGTACTTTACCAAATTTTTTGAATAAATTAAACGATTTTGTTTAAAATGCCGACAATAAATTAACAAACTTTTCAATGAGCACAAATAGATGGAAAATGATGACAATAAGTTGGGGACAAACCTAGAAAAAAAAAGGAATAAATTCTTAGCCATAAACTAAGTTTATTTGTTTTCTTGGTATCTATGAATTAGGGATGAAGGGAGTACTATCAGATGGTGCTGAATGATACTTGTGACACACTTGGTGGCCTAATCTATTTTCTCTTTTTTAACATATTTGATTCACACTTATTCACTTTGGAAGCCTCGAGTTCAAATGTCAATACGAGTGATTCGGATAAGGATTATTGGGGAAAGAGGCTACCCACTGTTTTTTTGCCTTCAATACACAAGATAGAGATCATCGGTTCTGAGAGGAAAATAAACATATGTTAGGAGACATATCATTTATGGAAACAACCAAGGTTATCAAATCGGGATACGAATTGTGAATCGGAAAGCCTATTTTTCGAATCTTGAATCGAAACTTATCATGAATCTTACGATTCATGAGCAATTATTAAAGATGACGTATAGGTAATTTTATAGAGGAGAACATCAAAAATTTGTAGATATTAGCTTCTATACACCTCACAAAAAATAAAAAAGGCCAATATATATATCAGATTTCAATAACAAGTAGTCCCCAAAATCAATTAGGGAATAAAAAATTATGGTTTTGATTGATATTTGATAAGCTAAAAGTAAGAAGTGCATTAGGGATTATTTATACTACAGATTTTCTCCTATAAATAACAAAAAAAATCAGAAAAAAATAAACATGAAAAAGGTTTTCTAACGTGTTGAGTTAAATCTAGCACGACTTAACACTGCCTGAATCGCATGATTCTGGTGCGAATCGCACAATTTTAGTGCGAATCACAAAAAGATACAATGGGAGATTCTTATCTTTTATTGTGTATTTTGTCTCGAATCGTAAGACTCGAAATTGCAAATCGTAGAATTCTAACTACAATGGAAACAACGATTAAGAAAGGGGAGAGAAAATGGTGAGGGGGGAAATTGTTTTGTGCAGTAACAGTTGATAGTCTTTCTCAAAACAGTACATAAGTGATTGGAAAGGGGTAATTTTATGGTTGAAATTCCAATTTTAGACAATTACAGCTATACGCTCCAGTGTTATTTTGTGCTGATTACTCCAACAGTAGAAAAGGGTATGACATTTACTTCGCATTATCATTTTTCAATATCCGTTAAGAATGAGTTATGATTTAGCATTTATTTTATATGGTTGGGGTGTCTAAGCTTTGAGTAGGTAAGTAATATTTGCATTTATTATTCATTAATTACATGTTTTATGCATAGTAATAATATAAACAAGATAGCCTGTTAGATTAGTATACACTTGCTACTTTTCCCAAATATCTCTCTTTTTTCTTGTGATTTATTATGGTACCAGGGCCTTGGTCCTATTTTCAGCGTTGTGCCTCAATTCAACCCACCTCTCCTTCTTGAAAACCCTAAAATGCTCACTACTCACTCAGAACCATGATCTTCATAGCTTCGCCATTGACATGCACTGCCCCATTGTGCTTGAAAGCACTTGATCTGCCAACCCCGCAAGTTTGGCTTGCATCTTTGTTGCACATGCTCCCATGCGTTGTCACAACTTTCCTGTCCAGTTTTCTTTTAGCTAGCGTGTGATGGCGCATCTGTGGCCTTTCTTGCAGCTTGTTGTGATCTCTATGGTTTGATTCTAGGGTGCTCTTGTCCATCTTCCACTCTGTTGTGTTTCTCACATCCTCTCTCATTTTCTGTGTGAGTTTCTTCCATCTCTTCTTCAAATCCAATGAAATCAGGTACGGTCTCCTAGTTTTGGTGGCGCTCTTGTCTTTACCTCTGAAAAGTTACGTGTTCCTCCCAACAACAAATCTTGGGCTTCCTCTGCTCATCTTTGGTTTGAGAGACAGGGACATTCGGATTGTCTGATTAAGAAAGGCACTGAAAAGACCTACTTGGATGATGATTGATGTTCAGGCGTGTTCTCTGTTGCGAAGTTCCCTTGATCCAAATTTGCTTCCTCTTTATTTGCTACATTTAACAGCAATAGTGTTTGTCAATATCATGAGGTGGCTGCTGCTCTTATTGGTTTAAAATGGGAGGATATGGATGATACTACCTTTGTTACCTGCATTGAGTTCTTAGGGCAAGAATTTCAATCTCTAATCAAAACCGAGAATTTGACAAGCTCTTAGTGCTCTTGACTCTATGATATTCAGTTGATACCGGGACATATTTGAAATGGAATTCTTGGTGATTTATCTCGCTGTACACTAGATGATGTCCATTTCTTTACACTATTCAATCCATACAGAGCATACTTGGGATGCTTCTGTTTTGATTTTACAGGAGTTCTAAAAGAGGAAACCATGGTGGTGGTGGGCATAATGGCTTTCATAGACGTCCTTAATGTGCTTATTGTAACAAAGTGGGCCATACTTGAGATCTTTGCTATAGCATCTATGACAAACCTTCTTGGAAGGAAAATGTTGCTCAGATGTTTGATTCACAATCACAATCACGGGTCTTATACACCTATGCATCCATTTTAAGACTACTTTTAGTCATATGCTATGTGACTTTGAGTTGATCGTCCCAAAGGAACTGTCAACATGAGCCTCTTCGACTCATTATTCATTAATTCTTAAATATTGTCTCATTGTAGAATCCAAACCCAAAGTGGTGTTTCATCAGCCCATGTGCTCGTACAAAGTGTAGAAGTTGCACTGCCAAAGCAAAAGAGGAATATGGCTGTCAAAGAGTTTAAACATGCAATTGTTGCTCACAAGAGGCGTTGTAAAGCTCAACGGGAAGGACAAGGTTACGTTATATTTAGTTGATTTTGCATAATTGCATTGTTTAACCAAGAATGCAAGTAAATCTAAAATAAGTTTTTTTAGGTTCTACCCAACTGCCACATGATATTCTGGTGCACATTTTTAGCCTTTTAGACGTCAAATCATTAGTCTCTGTGGGACTAGTTTGCTGGTAAGACTACTTTCTTTACGTCAGTGATATACCATGATGCGGAATTTGAATGTAAAATTGAGAGACATTTGACTATCTTCTCTGTTCATGTTATTTGCGGAAGAAAGTTAGGTTTACAAGATAAAAGTCACGGGAAGTTTAACTCAAGCAAATTTTTAAAACATTAAATAATTTGAGATAATTGAGAGTGCTGGAGTAGGCTTTTCCTTGCTTTAGTAGATTTGCCTCTATATTTATTTTTATATGATCTGATTATTATCTCTATGATTTTAGGATTAATAGTTTTTTTTCCCCAGTGAGATTGTATGCGATCTCACATTCTCTCTATGTTCTTCCATGTTGGTGTGTGGTTGGGATCTTTTTGAGGGGAGGGGAGGAGAGAAGATGGGGTCAGGGTTTTTGGTTGAGAAAAATGTAGGGTAGGGGAGGTGGTGAATTTTTGTCCTTTTTTGCTTCCCTCCCTTCCACCTCTCCTCCAAAAAAGGCTGAAGGAAAAATGTTTTTAATGATTGATGCTTTAGATTACAAGGGTATTTATGCATAGGTAGTACCATCAGTGGTTTACATATCTTGCTTCCTTGGCAAGTGAATTATACTTATGATTCTTTTTTTTTTTTTTTTTTTTAATTTACCAAATCATTTTGAAGGTCATGGAACTTAGCTGCAAATGAAAACCATCTGTGGGAGTTGCATTATGCTGTGCTTTATGGTAGTTTTGTTCAAGAGCAGCCTATTAGACTGGATGGAGACAAAAAGTATCCACTCTCACAGGATCCCATAGATACTAAATTGAACATTGACTGGAAAGAAGCAGTTAGAAGACAATATACTGGTAAGGGTGTGGTTTCTTACTTGTAATGGAGGCTTTCTTTTCTCATCCAATACCTTGTCAGTTAACAAATGTTATAAACCTAAATCAGTAGAATAAAAATCTTTTGATGTGCATAGCTCCTCATCTATTTTGGAGCTTTGAAAATATTTAAATGGTTCCATCCTGGTAGAACTTCTCATTCTTGCCAATGGCTTCTAGTGGTATGAATGCTCCTTTGCAAGTGAGAGATTGAGGATTCAATCGTGCCTGTAACATCAGGCTGTTAACCCTTGCCCCTCCAATTCTAAGAAAAGAATTTCGATCCTTTTTTCTCCCTGTTTTAACCTATAAAGAATTTCTGATTCACATGCTTCATCCAATTTAGTGATGGTTGGTGGTCTTTACATTAATATGGTTGTTATTAATGCTGTGATGTGGATGCCATCCCATAAGATGCATTTGCATGATCATAAATTTTGGTTTGATGAAAATAGTCAGTGTAGTTTCAGAAGTGGTTTAAAGTTTCTATAGCCTGTTGAGTAGTGTTGAAAACAAAGTTCAGGAGCATTGATTTTCATGTCATGACTGAGTATGCAATTTCCTGAATTCAATTTGTATTCAGTAACATACAGATTACAGTGCTTTACTTGCTTCCACTCTCTGTATTGATAATGCAGTCAAAACGTTTCTATTATTTTCTCATCCTATAATCTCCTTTCATATAGGAGCTTTATTGAAGAAATTAACATCCAACAGGGGATACTGTGCGCACTGCAAAACGGTAGTTTGGCTGAATAACTCAAAATGTCTCAATGCACATTGTGAGATCATGTCCAACATTCAAGATATCAAACCTGTAACTGCATGCCAGGTATCCTATTTACTGATGGAATGAGATGACTTTGTTTCCAACAACACACGATAGTTAAGCAAATTAGAAACAGTTGGAGAATCAATGATTCTGTCATTGGAAACAATGAGACCTGCAGGTCGCATAGGAAGCTTTTGAGGTAAATCTTACACAGCACTCGTGTCCTAACTAATATCAAGATGGCAAGAAAATGTATCTAAAACGTAAATTCATTGGTTGGAGCTCTTGGTAAGGAATGGCGAGTAATGGCTGCTCTGCGGATTTCCTTAAATTTCTGATGCCGTTATAGTTCATTTATTCAGACATATTAGTTAATGTCTGGATTGCCGGCCAAAAATCCTATTGCGAACATCTCTTTTGTTACATCTTTTATGATGTAATATTCATTTTGACAGTTCTTTTTTCAAATTGAGTTTTAATTGTGTAAGCCTTCCTCACTTCAGGTTGCTGAATATCTTTTGGATGATTCTTTATCCATGACATCTTCCTCAGATAGTGACAGCGATTCAGAAGGAGGATCAGTTTCGAGGTTATGGGCATATGCCAAACACTTCAAAAGATAATTAGCGCAGCGGCAAATCTGTGGTCATTCTCTCTTTAAACCACTCAAGACCTTTCGATTTCTTGCATTGGTCTTTTTCCAAGGAGTAAATATAGTGATTTTTTTTTTTTTTGAAAAAAGTCAACTTACATTGTTCATAAGCTAATTACGGGTTTGTTTTTATAAACGCGTTAGGTGGGTTGTTGTCCTTTTCTAACATCATTTACATGTGAACTGTTCGATAAAGGCCATGGTAGTTAGTTGGTGATTGGTTGAACTATTTTCTATCCGTATTGGCCTAATCCTTTTTAACCCATGATAGTGTTTTTAATTGATTTAATTGTTGCTTTTCTAGCATGCTGAATTGCTCATTTGCTAAAGACCTTTCTTTGTAACCCTGGTAATGTTTCACGAGTTTAGCTTAGTTCTTTTCATACCGTGTTTAAGTTTTTGGAGTTTGGTTGATTCTTCTTCTACTTTGGTAGACTTTCTATGAACCATTTTCTTTTACCGTCGTGGTAGTACTTTAAATGGTTTGTTTTGGTTAAGTATCGGATTTAGAAGGACTGTTTGTTATAGTGCATATCAAATAGATAGCCTAGGAAGTGATGCATATGCTTAGACGCTACATTTTCATAATGACCCATTTAACCTGAAGATCTAGGGCAGCGAGATTAAGGTTCATTTTTGTCCTGAAAGTTTTTGCTAAGGAGCTATAAGTATTTAAAAGTTTTATTTGGAATAATGTCATCTTGAAAAATACTAAAATGTAGTTATATGTCCCTATGTTAACACCTGGAAATGTTGACAGCTAAGATTAGAAATTTTGACTGAACTTTGCATTGCTGGAAGATGATTTGGTGTGGGTGAAAAATATTAGCTACATTTGGCAGTCTAGTTTCTTTCTTAGGGTCGGGAAAAAATTGCTTCCCTCGTCTCCTTCGGTTCTTCACCCCACTGACAGCCAAGAAGATGAAGTAGTCTATCCTCATTCTTTCTCGCTGCCCCTTCCCTCATTGTCTGAGGCTCTACTCCGTCTCTCGAGCCTTCCAGTGGAGCAACCCCTCTCGGCTTCTTCATTGGTGGCTCATCCTTTCCCTGGTCGCCACCATGACCAGATGTTAGGAATCACTAGTTCAGATCTCGTGCGCGGTAAATTTGAAAGAGAGAATTAGACAATGTTATAGCTTGGACATTAAAATGAAAACCCATAACGCACCACCTATAATGCTCCAGAGTGATTATCCAACATGCAAGATGAAATGACAACTAAATCTCACCAAAAAAAAAAATACTGGGGGTTTTATTAATGGGGTGTCCTTCGTCATCTAAAATCGGTATTTTGAGCCATCAATTTTTCTTTTATACATAAAATTGCTACATTGTCATGTGTGAAAATTAACATTATTAGAAATTGGCTTCCGCACATAATAAAAGACGCAGGAATCAAGAAACGTAATCATGGCTTATAGAATTAGAATATTAAAACCTTGGCTTGCGCATATAATAAAAGACAGAGGAATCAGGAGACTTAATCATGGCTTATAGAATTAGAATATTAAAACCTTTAACAGAGAGTTTATTGGATTGTCCTACTACAGGCATGTGCAATGTATAGTTGTGGAAATAAACTTTCACGATGTGAGTTATAAATGATTGTTAACATATAAAATATATGCTTTTATGCATAACATATATTCCAAATTTTTAAAAAATATTAAACATAATTCTTTAAAACGTATATTATTTTCAAGCTTAATGAATGCTTTATAATTTTAATTGTAACTTTTTTCTTTCATTTTTTGGAAATCAATTCTAACTTAAATTTGAAAACGATAAAATAAATATATTACAAATGATATTTAAATTGTATAAAGTTCGTCATGTCAGTAAAACCTTTACTGTTTATAACCATTGTAAAAGATAGTATTATTGAGAACTGCCTTCTGCATATGCTTTAGCAAAGATGAATTAGAAGGTATAATAATGTCTTGTGAAATTAGAATATTACAGCTTTCATTGTTTTTGTTATTATATCTCTTCCTATAATGTTTCTTGTTACATCATAACTACATTGCAAGTCAATAATGTATCTTTGAGACAAAAGTCAACCAAGATAAGATGACAACAAAGTATAGTTACAAGGAACTAAAATTTGTGTGTTCACCCAAGATTTTCTTAGGAATAAGGTTTATTTTTGCTCCGAAAGTTGTCACCAAAAAGCTTTTGAGTACTCAAATTTTATTTGAACCGATATCACTTCAAAGTTACCAAAACGCAGCAATGTCATCCTAGTCATTATTTAAAGTTAACTCTCACTTACATGGCATTCCTACATGGCACCCAGTATGCCACCTCATTGTTATCTCATTGCTACCTTCTTCGTTGGATTGTCAAGTTTTCATCGATTTCTCTAGATTGGGTAGCGTATTTTTCTTATCTATCAAGGAAGATGGAAGATTATGATAAAGCTTCGTCATAATCAAGGAAAGCAAATGGCAAGAGCAAGATTGATCAGTCCTTATCTTCTCCACTCTCGCTAGTGACAACTTCTTCTCCTCTGTTGTTGGCGGACCAGATTTGAGTTGAGATCGATGGTTGAAATTATTGTATGAAATACATACTTGGATTGCGATTTTATTTTATTTTTGTTGGACTTTGGGCTTGGATCCGCCCTTGATGGGCCGGACTATTTGACTAGATATTAAGAGAATATACCGGTCAAATATTCAAGCAAGATTATGATATCCTCAATCAAATCTAATCGATTACGATATAAATTTAATTGATTTATATTATATATAAATTTAATTAATTTATATTGTATAGATTAAATCTATATTAAGTAAATATATTTAGAGTTAATTGTGATTGATTCTGGATTTAAATTCAAATATCATAATATTATGAGATAAGGATATATTTATATATCCTAACTCAGATTTAACCTGATGGGCTCAGTGGATATTTTGGCTTCCCAAAATACCCCTGACAAAAGCTATAAATAGAGGTTTCTACCCATCAGTCCAACTCATTCTAGTAGTTGAGCTTTTCTACTACCTCTCATTCTCTCTCTCGCTTTCTTTCTTTCTTGCAAAGAGGTGTTCTGCTCTACTCTCAAAGCTTAGACTTTTATAGTCTAGCTTGAGCTCAGAAGATTTGACCCGAGATCCGACCCGGTACATTTCCCGATCCATTATCTATTTTTCTATCATTGGTATTAGAGCCAAAGTGATCTTGAGGCTTTATATATATGTGTGTTTATATTGTACGGACTGCCATTTTTTTTGAATTCTTCTGCTGGACCGACTGTGCATTTTTTTCTTGCATTAATCAAATGCTTGAGTATTGAATTCCAAAACTCACTCTGATTTTATAAATAAAGCTCAAAAATACTATCTGTAATGCCGTGAGGTTCAAAAACATGATCGAAATCCATTTTTCAAAAACTCCAACGTTGGCCGTATGAACTAGTTTTTGGGTCTTTAAAAGTGATTTTTTTTAAAGAAAATGAACCCATAGAGTTGTAGAACACGAAAATACAAGTTCATAGACACCTAAAATGCATAAAACGAAGGTCAGAGGTGGAAGTTATGGAGGTTGGAAGTTGGCGGGTCACAACAAACCTACCGGAGCTCCAGTCGGGTTTGGGTCAACCCGGCTGGAGGTTAGGGATGACCTCCACGGCCCAAAACAACGTCATTTTGGGTTGCTTTGAAACGTAGCGTTTCGAGTCAACTCGACCCGGATCCTCCATAGAGTCGGGTCGATAGACGGACCCGACCCAACATTTTTTTTTAAAAATCTTTTTAAATAAATATTCTCTAAAAAAAAATTTCCCCTAAAAACGCACTATATGGGCGTGTGGGGTCCACCTAAGGCCTCTTAGGTCACAAAAAGCACATAGTTAGACTCCTTAATATGTGAGGAATCAAAAGAAGTGGGTCCGATGACGGAATAATGCCGTTAAGGCAGCACGTGAATGACACGCGCCGAGCCTGAGAGTGGGCGATCCTTTCCCCTTTAAAAAAAAATTTTTTTTTTGGAAGGCTTCTTAGGGCACGTGAGGGCACGTGGAGGCTTATTTTTGGACCCTGTTTAGCCTAAAGTATTCCTAAAATCATGGGCTAAAAATGGATATATTATGTGCTTATTTTTTATGACTTTTTGGGTATGAAAAATAGTAAATAAATGTTTTATTTTAATTTTTCCCCTCTTAACTTAAACTTTATTTTTTCTTTGGGTTTAGGAAATGGCAATCTCAAATTCTAACCATTCTTTTGAAATATATCCAAGTTATTCTCCTCTTTCTGAGGCTCCAAATTCTTTAAATAATTATGTTGAAGAAAGTACAAATAAAAGAAAAACGCCCCAATCACGAGTGAGCTCTAATGTACCTGAGGGGAGCAGTGGTAAAAGAAAATGTGTTCCTGACCAACAAGAGGAAGAAGTTTGTAGACCTAAGGACATAAATTTAATTGAATAAATAGCAAAAAAGCATGCTGATGAATACAAGCATAAAAAATGTCTGTTTTCAAAATTGAGCTATTATGCTAAACAAATTACTAATGAGCAAGACACACTCTTTTTCTCAAACATTATAATCCAATATAGAGAGGAACTGGCAAGGAGGGGATCCATATTTAGTAAAGGATTTTTTAAACAAAGTCTTTGTAGATGCTGGAAAGATGTTAAAGAGAACCCATGATAAAATACATCATGAACGAATGAGTTTTTGTTCGTGTTTATTTTTCCTTTTTCATTTTATGTTCACTCTTTGAGACTTTATTTTTGGATTATCCAAATCTTTGTAAACATTTATGTTTCGTTAATAAAGTTTTTTTTTATTATAAATGCTTTATTTTTGTGGGAGTTTCATGAGGAAAACTCAAATTGGAGATATGTTCAAGGAAAGTTAGAGATAAAAAAGGTAAGAGGCTAACCAGGAGTAATGGGATGGGAGCCAACCTAGTTGTCTTCTGATCATGAAAATGGCAAGACTCTTACCTGGATGATCTATGACTTACTTGAATAACGTGTATGTTGCATACCATACTAAAATGCATTGTTGTCTATGTGATAGCACGATGTCTTAAAGAAGAATCAAGTCCATCATAGATGACCTCGTAGGAGGTGACAAGCTGAACAGAGACAATTACAGCATGTGGTGTCGTAAGATATCATATGTCCTTGAAGAACAAAAAGTCACCAA